TAACACGGCCTGAGCGAGTCTATTTTGAAGAAGTGGCGTTAGAAGAAGTTTAAGTTTAGCTCTTGCGCCATGCTGCCGGCATGAGTGGGACAGCCCATGCTAGCATGGAGATGGCTCTTTTGTTTATTGCATCGGACTCGGCTCCCTGGTGGTCCTTGGGGATCATGACTGGAATCCCCAGCCAGGACCATGAGGGACCCCCATTCCGAAGAGCCTGACTGGCCACGGTAGGTGTGTGTCTGTCTGTGTTTTTGTGTGAGCGCTCTGGAGGGACTGCCCCTCCATCGGGGCTCTTACCTGGGTGTTTACCGGCTGCTGTGTCAGCCATGGTTTGAGTCCAGATTCGAATCTGTAATAAATTCTAGCATGCTTAATCAAAAAAAAAAAAAAAAAAAAAAAAAAAAAAAAGAAGAAGTTTAAGTTTAAAAAAAATTTGGCTCTCCAAAGAAATTTCAATCATCGTACTGTTGATATTTGGCTCTGTTGACTATGTACATGTGTCAAACACAAGGCCCGCGGGCCAAATCCGTCCCGCCAGGCCTTGCAATGTGGCCCGCACCGCGCTGTCATCACTGCACTCCGCTGCGTTTCCATCACAATGACAGTTTATGACTGTTCAGTAAACCATTTGGCCCGCGATCTAGGCTGGATTTTAGATTTTGGCCCCTTCTCTGATTGAGTTCGACACCCCTAGAAGGAGTTTACCGACCACTGGCCTGGGGCACTCGCCTGGGCCATGAGCTTCCCTCAGACCTCCCCTCCTAAACCAATGTGACAATCCCCGGACCCTGGAGGTCCTTAATGCCATTGCAAGGCGCTTTTCAGCAAGAACGATCAGGTGACTTCAAAGGAAACAAGTGGATTACTTACGGCTGTGGAGTTCACAGGCACCTACAGGGCACAGTGAGGTGAAGGTGGAGGGAGAGAGCCTGGGGATCTGCTTTGATTGGAGTCCAGGCTAGTGGGACGGGGCTCACTCCTTACCGGTGAATTTAAAACAGAAGATCAAGAACCTAAAGCACAGCCCTAGCCGGTTTAGCTCAATGGATAGAGCATCAGCCTATGGATGGAAGGGTCCCCGGTTCAGATTCTGGTCAAGGGGTACATGCCTGGGTTGTGAGCTAGATCCCCAGTTAGAAGGTGTGTAGGAGGCAGCCCATCAGTGATCATCTCTTATCATTGATGTCTCTCTCTCTCTCTGTTATAGTTATATTATTGTGATGTTTGACTTATATTTTAAGGATTTAAAACAGTGTGAGAATAATTTGTGTGATTTAAAATAGGAATGAAAGCATTTACTTTTATGAGTGATTTATAGTTTAAGTGTGAAGTGTATTTCTGATCTTATTCTGATTTTATTTTAAGTAAAAGAAATTATTTGAAATGTGTTTTAGGCTTAGTATAAGTAACTCCATTTAGTGTGACTTGAATCTATTTTGTAAAACTTGAGTTTTAAAGCTGACTTTGAGCCTCTAACTGGGTGAACGTCCTAACATGTGCTTATCTGGAAAGTTGTAACTGTGTGGATGCCCTAACAAGTGTTTATCTGGAAAGTTGGAAACTGAGGCAAAAGGTCCCTGGAGAGCGCCCGATTGGGCACACTGAAGATCCATTGGTTGCACCCCGAAGGAACAAGGGAACACCAGAAATGGCCATAAAAGAAGGGACCTAGAGGCACTGGGCAGAGACCACAAAGGGCTCCTCCACCCGACGTGCTCTCCACTCTCTTCTCCCCGTTCGAAATACTGCGTGAGACTCTGCCGGAGTGAAGCTGTCACTCTGCCTGTGAGCCGAACCTCTGAGGCCTCGTTCCTGATCCAGACCCTGCAGCGGCACGCTCCTGTCCAGTGTGTGTGTCTGTCGGCGCGGATCTCCAGGTGACCTGCCTGGGCTTCTGGAAACCACCAGGACTCTGGTAAATAAACCTTGGGATTCATGCATTCTAACTCTTGTTTCTGAGTTTAGTTTATGCTCGGTCATTTTAGTTAAGTAGTGTGGGCATTTCAAATAATTTTTACTTAAAATAAAATCAGAATAAGATCAGAACTGTATAAGTCCAGTTCTCTGGCTGAGGGACCCCAGTCACCTGGGCATACGTTCCCACCTGAGGGTGAGTTGGAACACTCTCCCTTTCCCTTCTTCTTAAGTCAATAAAGATATATATATATATATATATATATATATATATATATATATATATATATATTTAAACGTTTTTTTTTGTTTTGTTTTTTTTAAATACAGGGAAGAGAAAAGCAAGTAGCCCAAATAGTTATCAGTCAAGGTCTCCAAAACAAAGGAGGGGGCGGACTGGGCTCCTTGTCAGTCCTGAGGATGGCAGTGTGTGCATTCCATTCCAGGTAGCCTTCCTGAGAGTGGATGCCTTTGAAATCAAAGCCTGCATCACTCACACACACACACACACACACACACACACACAGAGCCAGCTTCAGGGTGCACCATCTGTCATGTGTCTGTGGAGGTGCTGGTGGAAGCACACCTACTGCGCTGCCTCGATAACAGGACAGTCACAGGGGACTGTAGCATCCAGCATGTAAGGGGTGCTATGACATAAGCACCTCAAAGTCACCTGAGGACACATTTCTCAGCACGTATCCTGGTCGTCAAGAGGCACATGACTTTAAATGTCCCCCTGGATCCCATGAGCCATGGGAGACGGCAAGGCTGCAATCACACACCGCTAACTGTTCCGTGCTGCACAGGGGAGAGCCATGTCCTATTGTCTCACAGGGAGGTCTCAGTGGATCTTGATGGACCTGAAACCATATACTTAAGTTTGCAAACAGACCTCCGAGCTCTTTCAGCCATTGACCTGAAACAAAACTTTGGCCTCATATTTAAAAAAAAAATAGATTTTATTGATTTTTTTACAGAGAGGAAGGGAGAGGGAGAGAGAGCTAGAAACTTCAATGAGAGAGAATCATCAATCAGCTGCCTCCTGCACACCCCCTACTGGGGATGTGCCCACGACAGAGGTACATGCCCTTGACCAGAATCAAATGAGCCAAACCGGTTTTGGCAAGAGATGACACGATTTAATTACTTTGAGAACTTTTTAACTAATATGTCATTTTGCTGTGGATCTTCATTTCCCTAGAATTCTTTTTATATATATTTTATTTCAGAGAGGCAGGGTGAGGGAGATAGAAACATCAATGATGTTTATATATCAGTTACTTCCTGCATGACCCCGGCTGAGGATAGAGCCAGCAGCCTGGGTGTGCACCTTGACCTCTGGTTCATAGGTCGATGTTCAACCACTGAGCCACATTGGCTGAGCTTCCCTAGAATCCTTGATTCTGATGCTGAGGCCATGTGGATTGGCTATTTATTTTTATTGAATTCAGAGAGGGAGAGAAACATCAAGGATGAGAGAATCACTGATTGGCTGCCTCTTGCACATCCCCTACTAGGGATTGAGCCTGCAAGCAATCCAGACACGTGCCCTTGACAGGAATCGAACCTGGGACCTTTTGGTCCACAGGCCAACACTCTATCCACAGAGCCAAACCAGCTAGGGCTGGGCTGGCTTTTACTGAGATATTTGCTTCTCAATTAGGAAAAGATCAGTAAACAGGAAATGGTCTGAGGCAGCAGACCTGGGCTGAAATCTCAGCTCCTTCCAGCTCTGGGTGTCATTTTAAGAAAAATTCACTTTATTAATTTTAGAGACAGGAAGAGAAACATTGACGTTGATTGATTGGTTGCTTCCTGCACATGAGCAAACCAGGGATCAAACCCACAACCTGGGCATGTGCCCTGACCTGACCGGGAACCGCCCCATCGCCTTTTTTGGTGGAGGGGCAAAGCTCTAATGGAGCCACCCAGCCAGGCCAGCTCTGGGTCCCTTCATTGTCACCACTTCCCTAAGCCACGTCCTCTCCTTAGACTGAGGCTGCCTATGCTTCGTGGGCAACTGAGAGGCTTCATTTTCTTGAAATTTTCCAAGTTTTTTTCACCTTCAAGTTGGTAGGCAGGATACTTTAACAATTACCTTGAATTTTGTTGGGACTGTAGCTACCCCTCCCAGCACACAGAAGCCTGTCCTAATGTTCACTAGGTGGCATTATTACTTATTTAGTGCCTGTGAGGGCAGATTTTAGCTCTGAGAAGGCAGGGCCACGTCTGCCTTGCACACAGGTGTCTTCAGCGTGGAGCAGAGTGTCAGGTGAACAGTAGGTGTTGACTAACTGCTTTGCGTGAGTGAATTGGCGGTGCCTGCACCGCCATGGAAATCTGCCTGGGTGCCCATGAGTTACCGCCTGGTCCTGCAACCTCAGGAAGCCTGTTAGAAACTCCACTTCAGAACTGTTCAAACAACGGAAGTATTAGTTATTTCAGGCCCAAGATACTTTGATTTTACATAGCCCTGTGGAAACCAGGTCTGAAGGCAGAGGTCAATTTAAAAAGCCTTCAGTCTGGGGGTGTCTTTTCAAAATTTAACAATGAAGTTGGGTTTTTTCCCCTTTTCCAGTGGTCGGCAAACTCATTAATCAACAGAGCCAAATATCAACAGTACAATGATTAAAATTTCTTTTTAAGAGCCAAATTTTTTAAACTTAAACTTCTTGTAGACTTGCTCAGACCGTGGTATTTTGTGGAAGAGCCACATTCAAGGGGCCAAAGAGCCACATGTGGCTCGCAAGCCGCAGTTTGCCGACCATGGCCTTTTCTATGCCCAAAGTGAATATTTGTCAAACCTCAGTTCTAAGATCAGTTATCGCATCGTACCTGGGAAATGCGACAGGCTAAAAATTCCATCTCAAAGAAACTCAAGTGTAAAGAATCAGTATCCGTAGCATCTCTCTACAGTTATCTATGCAACTTTGCAGGTTTAAACTTTCGAGACCCCAGGTGGTTTAACAATGCCCTGTCTCTTCGATCTCAAAGAGGGCAGTGATAAGCCAAAGTGGGGGCGGCTTCAGACAGGTGGCATCCTTGGTTCTCTTCCTTCCCAAATAACAAGCGAGTTCCATCAATCCCATTTAGCAAATTACCAATTTATTAGGTGCCTACAAGTACAAACACGGAAAGCTGCTGCGGGGGAATACAGATGTGCAGGAGGAGAGGCCCGCCCTCCGGGAGACCTCACCATCTCAGCCAGGAGTCACCGTTAGGACGTGGTGGCGATACCACTCCGGGTGAGAGTCCTTGCCCAGGTTCACCGCCTTTGGCATCTCCTCTTGTCAGATGTGGAAGCAATCCTCTCAACAGGAGAGCCAAATCGTGGGGGGGTGAACCGGTGACCATGGCTTTGCTTAGGAGCATCTGTGTTCTTGTAACTTGCTCAGCATTGTTTCCCAGCAGCCTCCGGAGTGCATCTCCAGGCTTCCAGAACCTTCTCCGGGGCTCCCTGGGTGCTCATGTGTGTGGCTCAGCTCCAGTCTGGCCTTGGGATGACGTGCTAGAACAATGCGCCTCGCAGTCTGTGGTTTTCAGGGTGGGGGGGAGGAGGATGCATTGCAGAGGAGAGCAGGCCAGACTCTTCCCTTAAACATTTAATAGTGCACTTACTGATTATATTCTGTACAGATACAGGGCACATTATAAACCTCTTCTCTTATTTACTTTTTCTCTTAGACTGTATTCATGTACGTGTATTTACATTGGGGGGGCGGGGGAACAAAAACAGCCTTGAGGTACAAAACCCAAAAGAATATCTGAGGTATAAATACAAGTATATTTTAAATAATAATCTTTATCATGCTTAATCTATGTTTGAAAGCACAGTGGACCTGTGTACACGTGTCTTAATAGAATGGTATATACAACATACAATCTTACAAATCTGAAAGCCATTAAAATGGAATATACAAGTATATCTTCATGAAAAAACACTGATATCCAAAAATACTCAAATTTTTAACACTCTAGTCTGTCCCCACCAATTCTTCAAAGAAATAACACTGACAATGGTAACTAAATTATAACAAAATAAAAATCCTTCTTGCAACTCTCATTCACACATTACTCACTTTGACCCACACTAAATAAATTCACTAATACTGTCTCTGAAGCCGACCTTTCCCATTACAGTAAAACCTGTATAAAGACCACCCTTCCAGAACTGTGCTGGGATCTTGCTTTTTTCCTGTGATACCTGTTTGCCATTACCATGAAAAGATATTCCAAGGACATCATTATAAAGGAAAAGGATAGAAAAAGCAAAGCAAAACAAACAAACAAAAAAGAAAAAACCCCCACCAAAACAAAACAACCAAAAAACAACAAGAGAAAAAGAAGAAGAAGAAGAAGAAAAAAAAAAAAAAAAAAAAAAAAAAAAAAAAAAAAAGGCAGAAATTCTATTTGCTGTTAAAGGCAAATGAAATTAATAAACCTGTTCAGCTTTCAAAATGCTGTTAATAACCTACAAACAACTTGTGCAATCAGGTCTAGAGAGAAACTGTGTTTGAAACGGGAAATGCGAGTACATTCACTACAATCCTTTTGTAGGTAAAGAAGAAGTTGATGGAGGAGTCTGTTTAAAAACTCAAGGAAAAAAAAAAAAAAAAAAAGGACAAGGATAGGCTGCCTGTCCCCTCAAAATAAGAGAGTTCCCTTTTAAGTTTCTGGGTGGACCCATGGGTAGTCAGCTATTCCAGGCTAAACCGAACCTGATCATCAACATCCTTCTTGGAGGCATCTCAGTGTGCCAGACACTGTGTCCCAACGTCCACATCGGTGCCATTCGACCAGCAACAAACATACACACACGTCTCTCTCTGTGCAAACCTTGTCTTCGCTCATCTCAGTGAGAAAACCTGTCAAAGAGTACCAACTATTCCAGTGGATACGCCAGCCCCGCCACACGCTGCCAACACAATGACATGGGTACAACATACACCAAGATCACAAGAGAATGAAGGTATCTTCATCATCTTCTGTAAGGTATTTATAGGTTTGCTTCTCAGAAGCAACTCGCGTAAGAGTGCATTTTTTTTTGCAGTCATCTATATTCCAGTCAAGATCTATAGAACACAGACCTTAAACCAATAGGAAGCAGCTTTGAAAAATGTATCAAATCCCTACAGTCGAATATTCCTATGCTCCAACTTGCAGTTCTGTTTCAGGATGAGACGCAGAACCCGTGCTTCCAAGGACAGCGAGGGGGCGCTCTGGGGACCCAGGCCCGGAAGGTGGGGAGGAGGACACCGGGGCGCTGCCTTGGCGATCACCTGGACTTGGTGTCCTTGCTTTCGGCGTGCTGGTGGGAGAACGAGTCTCGGATCTTGACAACCTCGGCTGCGCACAAATGTCCGAAAGATTTCGTGTACCACTCTGGCATGTGGCCCCTGGAACAGAGGAAAAGCGGACGGATTATTCCAGCGGGAAAGCAGCCGAAGGGAGTTGCAGATACACTTCCATTTCCTGCTCAGCAACGTGTGTAAGGACAGGTTGCTCTTCCTGTTCCAGGGCAATCTCCTGGCCTCGCCATCACACACTCAGAACCGGTAAGTTTACCAAGAAACTACAGATGGAGTACAACTGTTTAGGGAGCCGAGACCAGTTTGGCTCAGTGGATAGAGCGTTGGCCTGCGGACTGAAAGGTCCCGGGTTCAATTCCAGTCTAGGGCATGTACCTTGGTTGTGGGCACATCCCCAGTGGGGGGTATGCAGGAGGCAGCTGATGGATGTTTCTCTCTCATCGACATTTCTAACTCTCTCTCCCTCTCTCTTTCTCTCTGTAAAATATCAATAAAATATATATAAAAAGAAATAATGTTAAAAAAAAAAAAAAAAGCTGTTTAGGGAGAGCTGCGGCGAGTTAACAAAAATAGAGCACACGGGTGCCCTGGAAGTGCTGAGACATAAAGACTTCCAACGAGACTTTATGGAACTCGAGAGCCACTGGGGACGGAATTCGTAGAGCTTCGTGTTTTGTCTGTTATGCTGCATTGCACTACTTTTCTGATACTAATACCCACTGATCTGTGGCAAAGAATAGACAGGCCTGGCTAATTACTAAAAGGGCATGCCCCATGATTCAGACACCTTTGACTGTCAGATGGGAAAACCTTGCTTGCTCGTTCAAACTCGTATTTCCGGTGGCTATTTACATTCACGGCAGAGGCACCATATCCACATGACTTTAGCGCTCTATTTTCTAAACTAAAGGACCGGAAGCAGGCCGTGGTCCCCAGAGGTCAAGAAACACAAACGTGTTCCTTCAGCACCACGCTTCCTGGTGTAACCGAGATGCACTGGGCACTCATTTCAGCCACTCTCTGCACCAGGCCCAAAGTCTCCGTCTTCTCCGTCACCCTCACCATGTCAAATCCCTGCCCCCCCCCCCCCCCCCAAAAAAAAAACCCCAGGACCAGGACATACCGTAAGTCAGCCCTGCACATGTAGGTGAGTTTGGATTTCCCTGACCCGCAGGGCTCGATCAGATACCGGGACAGGAGCACGTTGACCCTCACCCCCACCACTGGTGCCCGGTCGTGATCCACGGACGTGAGTAGAAGGGCACACGCCCCCTTGGGCAAGTTAGTCCTCCATGTCCTGTGGAGACAAAACCAGAGAAGGGAAAAAAATAAATACAACTTCCTGGAAGCCAGATGGGGCCTCACTCCCAGAGACACTGAAGGCCGGCCGGGCTCGGTGGCCGTGCTGTGTGGCCCGCCCTGCGGGAACGGTGTGCTGAGCCAGGGTGCGAGAGCTCCGTCCAGAGCCACATCTCCAGGAGGCGCACCCGCTCACACGGCCAGCTCTTTCAGAGAGAACCGACCGGTCCGAAGTGTGACCGAACACCATCCCGACATCCCCCAGCTGCCGGAGAGAGAGAGCATCCGGACGAAGGCTGCTCTGTTGGAAAAGTTCTGGACTAAGGATGCGACAGTTCCTCAAAGATTCTTGGAATCCTCTCCCAATCATGTTTCCAGAGAATTACGAATTAGACATAAATCGGCCTCAGCAGCCACCCCCTGGGAACCCCAGGATGTTATTTCCTGGCGTGGGCATCCGTCAGCTGCTTCCAACAAGAACAGCCACCCTAAAAGGGGGAAGCGTCTGCCACCAGGATGCGCATCCAATGGAGTGTGCCTCTCTCTCTGAGCTCAAGTCCAAAAAGAGGCCAAACCACTTCAGGATGGACACGCTCCTGGGATAAAAGCAGGTCTATTTTTCATATTTGCAAAGGCTCAACAACTTCAGGGAGGCATTCGTTCTATTGGGAGTAGTTTTACCATCTTATTCAGCGACCCACCGGCTCACCCTGGCCACCATTACCAATTTGGGCCCGGCCAGTGTGGCTCAGTAGTTGAGTATCGAACCCATGAAGCAGGAGGCCAGGGTTCAATTCCCGCTCAGGGCACAAAACCGGGATGCGGGCTCAATCCTCAGTAGGGCGTGTGTAAGAGGCAGCCGATCGGTGCGTCTCCCTCATTGTGGACGTGCCTATCTCTCTCTCCCTCTCTCTGATATCAATTAAAAAACATGAAACAGCCGAAACCGGTTTGGTTCAGTGGATAGAGCGTCGGCCTGTGGACTGAAAGGTCCCGGGTTCGATTTCAATCAAGGGCCCGTACTTGGTTGCGGGCACATCCCCAGTAGGGGGTGTGCAGGAGGCAGCTGGTCAATGTTTCTCTCTCATCGACGTTTCTAACTCTCTGTCCCTCTCAATTCCTCTCTGTGTAAAATCAATACAATATATTTAAAAAGCAAGCGAACAAACAAACAAACAAACAAACAAAAAACCCCACAAAAAAACATTAAACACACACGATCAACTGAGAAGCTCTCACCTCAGAACGACGTAGTCCCGAGCGGGATGGGGCGCCATGCTGTTCTGGACGTACTGGTAGATCTCAGTCTGGCTGTCCAGGATCTCGATCACTTTGGAGTCCAACAGGTCTACGTCCCAGAGGTGCTGCTCTTTCAGAAGGCGCTTCAAGACCTCCTCGGGCGTCGCGGGGACTTCGATGGTCGACCGCCAAAGCCTCAGAGGGGGCCCTTCGCTCACCTGGAGAGAGCACGCGCCTTTCAGGGCCGAGACAACTCGCACGCACACACCCGGACTGGGAAGGCGACTCGCTAGCCCGGTGCACGCACGGTCATCCGTGTGGAGGCTAACGACCGCCTATGGCTTTCACAGGCTGCCATCCCCGAGAGTTAGGCCAGACGTGGACAGATCCGCTGGGGTCACCTCGGGTTCAGACGGTCCCATGTTCCCCTGGAACCCCTATCAGGGTCAGTGCAATCAAGGAGGACCCTTTATTTGCACCCAAGTCCGCATGGCCATCTGGACTGCCCTCCTGGTTTATTTCTTTGTGGTGGAGACAGTGTCAACAAACACCTGTGGTGGGCCTACCGGGCTGAGCCACCCAACGTGTGCCCACCCTCACAGGCGTGCAGTCCCAGCAAATCTATTTCTCCCCTGACAGCTCTCTGCTCTTCAAAAGGCCAAGAGTAGAGTGGACTCCCATCCAAGTACTAACCAGGCCCGACTATGGGGGGGAGAGAAATAAATAAATAAATAAAACCTGTTAAAATAAAATAAAAAATAAAAAAAAGATCAGGCCGGCAGGGGGTTAGGGGTGATTAGGCCAGCAGGGAGGGAAGCTGGGGGTGAGATCAGGCTGGCAGGGAAGAGCAGTTGGGGGGGGGGGGGGGGCAACCAGGCCAGCAGGGGAGGGTAGTTGGGGGCAAGATCAGGCCAGCAGGGGGTGAGATCAGGCCAAGAGGGGAGGGCAGTTGGGGGTGAGATCAGGCTGGCAGGGGAGGGCAGTTAAGGGCAATCAGGCAGGCAGGTAGGTGAGCAGTTAGAAGCCAAGAGTCCCAGATTGCAAGAGGGATGTCCGTCTGCTGGTCAGAGATTCCCCAAGGCGTCCCCAATTGGAAAAGGTGTAGACTGGGCTGAGGGAACCGTTCCTCATGCACGAATTTCATACACTGGGCCAGTAGTTTATGGTATGAAGTATAAATCACAACTGTTGGTTTAAATTTTGACAATAAACAAAAGACTTAAAAAAAAAAAAGAGTAGAGTGGAGTGTGCAAGGGGACTCTGACCAAGCAATGGAAAAACCCAAGCTGCTCTGCAAGGCCTCAGCCCCACACCCTGGTAAAACACTCCGGGGCACTCTGGTGTGATACTGCATCAGCTGTCTGATTCCTCTGACAGGTATTCCTCGCTGGGCTGGCTCCCGCTCTCACCCGGGGGTGTGAATCTCCCCTGGCCGCCCAGCTCTGCAGGAGAGGGGACGGGTGCCAGGTCCCCACGCAGAGCTGTGCGGGCAACAGGGTCTCGTCCCTAAGGAGCCCAAGGCCTGACCCCTGGAACTCCACTGGCTGACGACAGAGGGACGACCTACCTTCTTATAGGACAGCTCGGCCTGCTCGGACGTGGAGCAGCTGACCCAGCCTTTGAACTTGTCTTTGACCTCCTTGAACAGGCTGTCCATGCAGTCCTGCAGGAAGTGCCGGTAGTCGGCGGACTCGTCGGCGCAGAGGCGTCCCAGCGCCTCGAGCGTGAGCGGCTTCAGCTCTTGCTCGGTGTAGGAGTTGCGGCATCGGCTCATTTCCTCAGGAACCTGCGAGGGACACGAGACCGAAAGGAGGTTGGGGGATGCCCTCGCCGGTTTGGCTCCGTGGATAGAATACCCCAGCCTGTGGACTGGGGAGTCCTGGGTTCGATTCCGGTCAAGGGCACGTGCCCAGGTTGTGGGCTTGATCCCCAGTAAGGGGCGTGCAGAAGGCAGCCAATAATGGATTCTCTCTCATCAATGAGGTTTCTCTCTCTCTCCCCCTCTCCTCTCTGAAATTAATAAACACTTTTTTTAAAAAAGGAAGTTAGTCCACCTGCGCACACTGTCGTTGTCCAGCGGTGAAGGGACGGGGCAGAAACCAGGCTGGATCCCCAAGGTGGTGCAGGCAGTTCAATCCCCATTCCCAACAGCTGGAGGCTGTCCCGCCCACCTCACATGCTATCACAAGGCTAAGGAAACCTTATTCCAGTGTAAGGTATCCGAGAAGTCACGTAGCAGGTAAGTGACTAACACATGGCTTACATTGATGAAGGCACGTGTCTCAGATACAGTATTTACTGCATGAAATTTGTTGCTTTTATAAGGGGTATGGAGGTAGGCATTTCATTAAGCGTACTACCTCTAATTGGCTTATGTTGTAATATACAATGTTTCCCCGAAAATAAGACCTACTCACAGGGTTCCTTCTGAGTGAAATATAAGGCATCCCCCCGAAAATAAGCCCCCCCCCCCCCAGGCTAAACATGAGAGATTTGGTCCACTGATTCTGAAAGAAATGAAGTCACAAGAAATTCACCAGGAAATTCAGGAATTGGATTGTTATGATGATGTTCCAGAAGATAACGACATGATTGTCACTGAATAAATGAGTAAATTCTTGATACTGTAGGATTCACAGTTTGTCTGGTTTGTGTTGACAACTACGTTACTACCGTACCGTATACAGGTAATAAATTTCCTTTTCATTTAACAATAAATGTGTACTGTATTCTTCATGGAAAAATAAGACATCCCCTGAAAATAAGACCTAGCGCATCTTTGGGAGCAAAAATTAATATAAGACACTGTCGTATTTTCGGGGAAACGGTATATATAAGGAGACACTGTTGGGTTCTGCATATGTGCTCTCCAGCTGGGGAAGAGAACTTGTGGTAAGATGGATGCACCTGCAATTTCATCCCTGCCCACGTTATCCTTACCAAGCAGCAAAACCCCTCAAGTCCTCACCTGGAAAAGCTTCTTGCACTCAGCAATCATATGGGCCAGCCCTTGAGTGGCAGCGAGGTTTTCATTCAGATCTTTCTGATCTGGTTTGCCCAAGCTCTGTTTTCTTTGCATTACCCTGGGCGGAAGAAACAGGAGGGGAAAGGTTCAAATATTTACCTATTTTTAAATCAACGCGTCAGTTAAGGACACCCAAAGGAGAGAATGAACAGCTCACTGGAGCCTACCTGCCATGAAAGGGTTCAAGACAACTTTTATTATTTTTAAAAATGTATCTTTATTGTTCAAAGTATTACAGGTGTCCTCTTTCTCCCCCATTGACCCCTTCTGGCTGGCACCTGGCTCCTTTCTCCTCCCCTCCCCATCCAGACCTATCATCAGTGTCCGTGCGTTATGCACATATGCATAGAAATTCTTGGATTAATCTCCCTTCCCACCCACCCGCCCAAGAGAGCTTTACTTTGGTCTCTAGAATTTTTCAGTTTTATCACCACCACCACCACCACACACACCCACACACACACACACACACACACACACACACACACACACACACGAAAAGAGACAGTTTTCAAGGATATTTAGGCTCTTTAGATATCCCAGCACGTTAAGTAGGCTCCTATTTAGTACCTAGGGGAGCTGGTAGATCTGTGGGTGTGTGCTGGGGAGGGAGGGGCAGTGAGAAGGGTGTGGGTGGGAGGTGCCGGACCCTGGGGTAAAGTGTCCCCATTCTTCTCTGTCCAGATAACCAGGGCCCCTCCCAAAGGTGAGGGGAAATCCATTGTTTCCTCAAGGTTCTGCTTTAATCTTATCTGATCTCTCTCTGGGGCTCGAGGCTCCTCTGTTCTCTATCCCACTGAAGCTGGAACGCTAGGGGCAGCGTGGAGGGGTGGGCTGGGGTGGGGTCCATAGGGGGGAAAAGGGGGAAATAAGTAATACTTTCAACAATAAAGATTAAAAAAAAAAAAAAAAAGCTGAAATGCTTATCAACAATCAAGGATCTTTAAGCACTGCCTGGTTTCCAGAAGCAAAACTACTTCAGCAAGCACCAGGCCCTGGCTTCTAGCTCAGACCATGAGGCCTTGATGAGAAATATTCTCAGAAGTCAGAGGCTCCCACTGGCTCTGCACGTCTCCATTCCAGGCCGGGCCAGTTACTTCCTCGGCTGGCCTCCCGCAGCCCCACTGTCCCCTCCTGGAGAGTGGACACCGTTATCATCCTCGCCTCCTGCGTTGTTCTGAGGGTTCAGGGAGAATTTTATGAATGTCAAGGGTGCAGTCGCGTGACTGGGACGGACTAAGTGCTGAGCAAACATCCGACTTGGTTCCTTTTCCCAGATTCCCCGGCTTCTCCTATAGCCACGCCACTCCCGCCAGCAGGCATTGGAGGAGAAACTCCGCATAGGATGGGCTGAACCTTAAGCTTGCGGGCTCTGCCTTATGCTCAGTTCTCTTAGCTCTGGCTACTTCCTCTCAATCGTCCGGCCCAGGCCAGGAGCTGGGCTCCTCTGGCCCCGTGGGCACTAAGGCTGGGCCTATGTGTCTCCCCACCCCCCATGTTCAGGTCAGTACATCTGGGCTCTGCTGGCAGAGGGTGATGATAACGTCACAGAGGGCTCTGGGAGACACTGGCCGTACACTCCCATGCTGAAGCATGAACCTTTCTTTCTCCCCCTAGAACCATGGTCGGCAAACTGTGGCTCTTTGGCCCCTTGAGTGTGGCTCTTCCACAAAATACCAGGGGGCCTATTTTGAAGATGTGGCATTAGAAGAAGTTTAAGTTTAAAAAATTTGGCTCTCAAAAAGAAATTTCAGCTGAAACGTGTGGCTCAGTGGATAGAGCGTGGGCCTGCAGATTGAAAGGTCCCGGGTTCGATTCCGGTCAAGGGCATGTATCTTGGTTGCGGGCACATCCCCAGTGGGGGGGTGTGCAGGAGGCAGCCTATTGATTCTCTCATCGATGTTTCAACTCTCTATCCCTCTCTCTTCCTCTCTGTAAAAAAAAAAATCAATAAAAATATATTGAAAGAAAAAAAGAAAAGAAATTTCAATAGTTGTGCGGTTGATATTTGGCTCTGTGGACTAATGAGTTTGCCAACCACTCCACTAGAGTGTCCGGGCAGTCACAGGCCCAGGGCTAGGAAGACAGGAGGGTCACGTCGTAAGGTGACCAGATGTCCCAATTTTCAACAATTTGCCCCACGGCGTTTTCAAATTGTTAAAAATCGGGACTGTCCCGCCAAAAGAGGACGTCTGGTCACCTTAGTCACATGGGCTGCGGGGGAAGAAGATCCATCTCCTATTTGTTTGCCTTAGGAGGGAACCCCACGAGAACACGGGGGCAAGAGGAGGGAACCCCACGAGAACACGGGGGCATGAGGAGGGAACCCCACGAGAACACGGGGGCATGAGGAGGGAACCCCACGAGAATATGGGGGCATGAGGAGGGAACCCCACGAGAACACGGGGACAGCCCCCGAAGGGGAGCATCGTGATGCGTGTGCCGGCCCGGGCCCTACCTGGGGGAGGAGTTCTCCCGCTTTAGCGTGTTGAGGTGGAAGAGTGAGGGCGCCAGGCACACGGCCAGGTTGGTGGGCGTCATCTGGTTCTCCTTCACCGCGGCCGTCACGTCGCTCAGGAAGTACAGCAGCGTCTGCAGCACCTCCCGGTTCTCGTCCGGCAGCAGCATGATGGCCGCCTTGATGGCCTGCAGGCGCTGGTCCTTGGGCACATCTGCAAACACCAGCGTTTTCCCGTCAGCCATGGGCATCGAGGGGAAACGTCCCAAAGCAAACACATCAGCATCAAAGCCCTCGGCCCGCCCCGAGCAAGCACTCGAGGGGAGTGCACTCGAGGTGAATAGGGGAGAAACGAGGGCCGCACCAGCGTCACTGCCCTCGAGTGTTTCCTGCTGGAGGCGGCGAGATGTGTGAAACACCCACCCTGCCAGCACACGCGTAAGCCCACCCCTGGGCTCGGCCCCCGACGGGGCCTGCTGGTTCAGTTTGCAGAACACTTTTTCTCTCCCAGTACTTCTCAGAAAACCCCGATTCATCCTTCTCCGTTTCTGAAGGACAATCTGCACATATACTCTGGTGCAGTGTCAACAAAACATCTTATCTAAGGCATGTGTCCTAGGGGAAGGCCAGAGGTTTCCTTATCTTTCATTGGACACTAGTAACTCATTATTATTATTGTTAAAAAATATATTTCATTGATTTTTTACAGAGAGGAAGAGAGAGGGATAGAGAGTTAGGAACATCCATGAGAGAAACATCGACCAGCTGCCCCCTGCACACACTCCACCAGGGATGTGCCCGCAACTAAGATACATGCCCTTGACCGGAATTGAACCCGGGACCCTTGAGTCCGCAGGCCGACACTCTATCCCACATGTGTCAAACACAAGGCCCGCGGGCCAAATCCGTCCCGCCAGGCCTTGCAATGTGGCCCGCACCGCGCTGTCATCACTGCACTCCGCTGCGTTTCCATCACAATGACAGTTTATGACTGTTCAGTAAACCATTCGGCCCGCGGTTTAGGCTGGATTTTAGATTTTGGCCCCTTCTCTGATTGAGTTCGACACCCCTACTCTATCCACTGAGCCAAACCAGTTTCGGCTGTCACTCGTTCCTGAAGTGGAAAAAGGAAGCTGCTCAAATATTCAGCCCATGTAAACGACAGACGTATGTGACCAGAGACTTCTTTAAGCTTCAGAAAGCCTACCGAGAGGCTATGATAGAAACACGGGCCGGAGAACGAGGCCCAGAACTAGTGCACACGTAGGAAATGCTGCACCCAGCCCTAACCGGTTTGGCTCAGTGGACAGAGCGTTGGCCTGTGGACTGAAGGGTCCTAAGGGTCCTGGGTTCGATTCCAGTCAAGGGCATGTACCTTGGTTGCGGGCACATCCCCAGTAAGGGGTGTGCAGGAGGCAACTGATCGATGTTTCTCTCTCATCGATGTTTCTGGCTCTCAATCCCTCTCCCTTCCTCTCTGTTAAAAAAATCAATAAAATATATAAAAAAAAGAAAATGCTGGAGCCAGCCTTCGGGCCCCCTTTCCCAGGCCAAGCTCTCTCTCAGAAAGGCACGTGGTGGAAAAACCGAGTCACCCAGACGCAGCGCCATAGGCCGAGCCGGTTAAACAGCGCCATGGTTACCACACACAACAAATACCTTGGCGGGGAAAATGTGACCTGTGTTTTCATAAAACCTTGAAAGGATGAAACAAATAATGAAATAACCCAGACCAGCTCCATTTCTCATAAAAGAGAGTCCAGCGCGCCAGCAGCTCAAGGCGATGGGAATGCGGAGAGGAGCTGCTTTCCAGTGACAGGGCCGGACCATGACCCGGAGCCAGGAACAGCACCGGGCTGTGAGAGCCGTCATCCCGATCCTCATCCTTCATGTAGGTGACTGTTTGCTTTAAGCTCTACTTAAAAGTGCGAGGGGCACGGGTATTGTGTTCCCAAGTATTTCTGGCAGTCGCCGAGAAGAACAGAAAAGGATTATTTATTCATTGAACATCAAGATAAAAGACACAGACACCTGGGAAGTTTTAAACACAGCAGGTCTTGCTGGAGGGATGTGAGGCAACTGAAATTTCCATCCAGAAGATGGAGAGAGAGAGAGAGAGAGAGAGAGAGAGAGAGAGAGAGAGAGAGAGAGAGAGAGAGAAAGATCTTGGTACCTGCCCTTTTAAGCTTCTTAGGAAACCTGGTGCTAGAAACTGACGGAAGACTGAGCTCCAGGACAGAAGGTGAAAATGTGCAATTGCTTCAATAACGAGAGAAGGATGACATTCCGTAGGTATACAGAAACCCCGTCCACAAACGAGGAGGCAAGGAAGAAATTGATAATGTGTGTTTCCAGGCCATCAGGTAGCCAGCAGTGCCCAGCTGGTGTAGCTCAGCGGCTGAGCCAGGAACCAAGAGGCCACTGGTTTGATTCTGGGCACATGCCCGGGTTGTGGGCCTGATCCCCTCTAAAGGGGGCGTGTGCAGGAGGCACCCGGTCAATGATTCTCTCTCATCATTGATGTTTCTATCTCCTTCTAAAATGAATAAATAACTAAATATTTTTTAAAAATTCAGAGAATGCATATAAAAATCTGAACTTATGGTTTCTCTTTTTTATTTTTAAGATATATACTTTATTGATTTTTTTTACAGAGAGGAAGGGAGAGGGATAGAGAGTCAGAGACGATGAGAGTAACATCGACCAGCTGCCTCCTGCACACCTCCTACTGGGGATGTGGCCGTAACCAAGGTACATGCCCTTGAGTGGAATCAAACCTGGGACCTTCCAGTCCGCAGGCCGACACTCTATCCACTGAGCCAAACCGGTTAGGGCTGGTTTCTCTCTTTTTTTTTCTTTTTTAAAAAAGGAAGGTGGAGCTTTTCGTTGGTCCCATTTCTTCCCACCTCCAACCAGGGTTAAGACCCAAGAACCACTCACACTGGTAGATCTGCAGGAAGGTTTCCGAGAGTTTGTTCGTCATGAGCGGCTCCGGGAGATCTCGGAAATACTGCTTCAACATGTCGGCCACGTCGTAAGCGGACTGCCCCTCGTAGCTGACACAGTCGAGGGCACTCTCGTTCATCTGGCGCAGGGCCTGGATCCGGGACTTAACGCCCGACTTCCTGAAGAGCCCGACCTGGGGGAAGGAGAAGAACACGGAGGGTGGAGATGGAAGCTGCGCCTTCGCGACAGAACTCGGGGGAGACGAGGCCCCGCAGCGGCTCTCACCTGGTCCAGGCAGTGGTTGCGGAGGTAGCGCATGGCCTGCTGGATGCTCTGGGGCAGGGGCTGGCCCGAGCGCTGCACGTTCACGGTCAGGGGGACGCCGAACACGTTCCGGTCCTTGTAGTCGGGAACCTTGATCCTCTTCATGAACTTGGGCACGGCCCTGTGTAAGGAACAGCGGAGGGGAGGCGAGGTGTTTTCTTGTCTGCCTGCTCTGGTCCATCTCCGCAGGCCGACCCCGCGGGCCCCAGAGCCGGGCCACGAAGGTGGCTATTCACACGTAAGTGACGTAAAACTAGGAAATCGGGTCCTCGGCGGCACCAGCCACATTTCAAGCACTCGCTGGCCGTCTGTGGCCAGCAGCGACCCTCCTGGGCTGGGCAAATTTAGAACATTTCCGCCATCCCAGACAGGTCCGCTGGAGGTGCTGTGGGAGGCCAGCCACCCTGCCTCAGGAAGGATTCTCCTTCCACTGTGAAGGCTGAGAATCGGGTCTGTATTATTTTTTAATCGACTTTTTATTTAGAGATAGGGAGGGAGAGAGAGAGAGAGAAAAACACCGATTGATTGTTCCACTTATTTCTGCGTTCATTGGCTGATTCTTGTATGTGCCCTGACTGGGGATCGAACCCGAATCTTGGTATTATTGGGATGATGCTCTAACCAACTGAGCTACTGGCCAGGGGCACGTTGACATCCTTAAGGGAACTGATGGGCTTCCTTAGCAAATGGTGGCATGGGAAGAAACAGAGGCAGAAGACACCTTGCAAGGCCCTCCTTCGGTGCCTAATAGAGTGTGAAAAACAAGTTCCCCTTCGTTGTGAAAACGGACAAGAACAATTTCTAAGTTCTTCACGAGAACCCAAGTGTTTAGGGTAAAAAGGGTCAGCCCGGCTGGTGTGGCTCAGTGGTCGACCCATGAACTAGGATAGGAGGTCACACAGTTCGATTCCCAGGCAGGGCACATGCCCAGGTGGCAGGCTCAATCCCCACTTGGGGCTGGGGGCAAGAGGCAGCTGATCCATGATCCATGATTCTCTCTCATCACTGATGTTCCTCTCTCTCACTCTCTCTCTTCGTCTCTGAAACCAATAAAATAAAAAGAAAAGAAAAATAAGGATCAGGCAAGGCTGGATGACAGAAACAGCAAATACAGGATGCTGGTCAAACACAGGGACCCCAACTCCAGGGCTCAGCAATGTGGGGCCACGCTCCTGACCTGACATCAAAACCACCCTCCCGCTGCTGAGCGGGAGGCCAGAACGCCTCCAGGTGCCCGAGGAAGACGGAAAAAAGAACAAGGAGGGTTTTGTGGCCTGGTCCCCGCTCCCCGGAGTCCCGAGAGCGGGTCCGCCCCGCAGAATCCCCAACAGCAGGAAACCAGTGTCACGCCTCTGACGCTGTCAGGTTCGACAAACGCCCTCTGTGCGCGGGACACGGGAGGGCCAGGACTAACAGGAAAGGAATTCTGTGTCGGATTTCTCCCCGCCCCGGGGATCCCACAATGCCAGGCTTTTTACAGGCTGGTCTTGACTCACTGGAAAAGCTGACCAGAACTCCAGAAGGGTTATGGACTCGCAGATGCTTGAGGGTTTGGTGGAAGGGGAGAGGGGGGGGTGGGCGGGCGGACCGCTCATGAGCGGCGAGAATGTGAACTATGCAGTTTTAAATAGCCAGCGGGGAAATGGGACTCCCGCCCAGGGGCACCCGGCAGGGGGGACGCCGACCGGCCTTGACTTCTGGACCACAACACGGCACTGTTTATAGCTGCGGGAGAGGTAGGGCCGAGACGCGGGCCCAATGTGTATTTCCATTCGGTTAAGTCCACGGGACCACGGCTGAGGCACGGGCATAATGCCGGTTTTGTCGCGGGCACCGGGGCCCGGCGGCGGAATGCGCAGGGAACACATTACCGTCGCCGCCGAGAATCCAAAGCATGCGGGGGGATAAACCGGTCAATGCTTATTTCTGTCGTCCCGAACAAACAACTCCTGTATTTAGCAGGGCTCACATAATAACAGCCTTTGAACAGGAGGCGCTTTGATGCTGGAGTTAAACTCACGACGAGTCCCGAGAGGGAGCCGGTTCCGCTGCCCGGCTGACTCACGGGCAGGCAGCTCCGCCGGGCTGGGACACCCCCCCCCCCTGAATGGGCTGCTCCTCATTTGTAGCAAAAACAGTCGTCGTGCAACCGGATAACAAACACGAGAACACTTCCAAACACCCAGCTGACACTGTGGAATGCGCTGGGATGTCAATCTAGGGACTCATCTCTGTTTTGCAGGGAGAGGGAAGCGAAGATGTAGGTATTAGGTCATAGCCATGACCCATCCAGCCCAGCAGTTATGTACCCGAGGGGCAATCTTTTCACACATAATTGTGGATAGCCCGTGTTTACATGTATTTCGCTCTGTGATATTTTATAGATTCGTCACCATGTAAGAGTACTTGTTGGAAAAGACAGAAGATCCTTAGCACAGGCAGATCGGTGAGGGATGCCGTGAAGAGTCACGTCAAAAATGCTTTCCAGAAGCGCCCAGCAGGGAATTAAATAAGCCAAGCAGTGTACACCAAGCATTTTAAAGTCAGCCTCACAGCAGCATCTACACTACATTTTCCCGCTGGGCCTGTGTGGGTCAGTGGTTGAGCGTCGACCCATGAACAGGACCTGGTCATGGTTCGATTCCCGGTCAGGGCACATGCCCAGGATGCAGGCTCGATCCCCACATGGGGGAGGGCAAGAGGCAGCCGATCAAAGGTTCTCTTTCATTATTGATGTTTCTATCTTTCTCCTTTCCCCTTCCTCTCTGAAATCAAGCAAAATATTTCTAAATGACATTTTCCCTTCCTTCTTTCCAAAGTCAGATACCGCACACATATATTTACCTACGACAGGTTCCTCCTACCCCTGGGACAATTCAACGGGAGAGAGAGATGCATGCTCGCCCCATCCACTGGCAATCTGTCCCTGGGAGAGCCCAAAACTCAACCAACCACCCTGCCGGCAAGCCCCTAAGTCCCTACAGCTCACGCAGCATCAGGGCAGAGAGTGACTGCGTTGGGATGGCTGGCTAAAGACGCTGGAGCGACGGGGCTGCCACATACTCGGTGTCGGGGCAGTCGGAGGAGCTGAGCGGAAACAGCTCCAGCCCCGGCTCCCGGGGCGGAGGGAGCTCTTACCAGCTGAAGCCGTGCTTGTTGGAGGGCGTGTACTTCTCCAGCAGGGCCGTGAGCTTCAGGAGCGAGTACTTCTGCAGCAGGTTCATCTGGGCCACGGACTGGCAGTTGATCTGCAGCGACACCGAGTTGAGGCTGGGCCGGTGCGAGCTCTGGAAGCTGTGCCACCGCAGCCGGTGCCTGCGGGAGGAGAGCGGGGTCAGTCCGAGGCGCTCAGAGGCAGCCGCCCGTCAGCAGCCGCCCCTGGCTTCGTGTCCGGCGAACGGACAGGACTCGGCTTCGGAAACAGCATAAAACCTACCGCCGTCCCCACTTTGAAGTGCACGGCTCAGGGCCATTCAATACACTCACATGGGCAGAAACCGGTTTGGCTCAGTGGATAGTCAGTCTACAGACTGAAAGGTCCCAGGTTTGATTCCGGTCAAGGGCATGTACACTGGTTGCGGGCACATCCTCAGTGGGGGTGTGTGCAAGAGGCAGCTGATCGATGTCTCTCTCTCATCAATGTTTCTAGCTCTCTATCCCTCTCTCTTCCTCTCTGAAAAAACCCAATAAAATATATTAAAAAAAAAATACACTCACATGGTTGCACCACCACCACCACCCTCCATCCACAGAACCTCTACCTTCATCTTCCCCGACGGCAAGTCCACTCCCACTGGACAGTACTCAGTTTTTGGGGGGATGCTAGCCTGTCTCGGTCTGCCTGCCTCCTTCTCTGGCACATCCCTGGCTAGGAACGCCAGGCTTCCGTGACCCTATTTCCCCTCCACGACCAGCAGAGGCGGCCCCTCTCTCTGACTCCCCGTCTGCCCGCGACCTCCCCCTCCCCCGCCCCCGTCGGGAGGAATGGGCACCAGAGCGCTGCTCACCTGTTGGACCTCGTCAGGGAGGCCCCCACCCCGGAGTCCCTCCTCTCGGGGATGTCGGCGGGCTCCTCGGGCTCGTTGAGCGAGTTGCCGGTGCTGTCCAGGTCGCTGGGCGTGGCGCGGTCGTGGTCCACGTCCAGGTGGATCTGCTTCGGGGAGGACGGGCAGGGCGACACGGAGTCCAGGGCCGAGTCCGAGTCCCCCTCGTCCGAGAACTTCTCCGACCACTGGTTCACGATCCTCTGCATGCCGTTCACGTGGTACAGGATGTCGTCCAGCTCGGGGAAGATGTCCTCGTGCTCCAGGTCGGCCAGGTCGCCCGAGCTGGAGTACAGGATGGAGCCCGGCACGTTGTCGTAGATGCTCAGGCGGCTGCTCACGGAGCTGGAGGAGTTGCGCCGCTTCAGCTCCTGGGGGCCGCCGCCGCCCCCTCCGCCGCCGCCGCCGTGCTCCCTCCGCAGGCTGACGCGGCCGGGCCCGTGGAAGCTCCCCGTCCTCCAGTTGACCACGGAGGAGCCGCCGTTGCCCCCGGCGGGGGAGAAGCTGCCGTGGGAGAGGGCCTTGGGGAAGGTGCCGGGCTTGTGGTCCTCGGGGATGTAGAACACGGCGTCCTCCTCGGGGCCGCGGCCGCGGCGGTGGTTCCTGAGGTTGCGCTCGGCCACGTCGGGGAAGGCGGGCGGGCGGAAGGGGTCGAAGCCCTCCAGGTACATGCCGCCGCGCTTGTTGCAGGCGCTGAGGCTGCGGGTGCGGGTGACGGGGCTGGGCGTGCTCACGGCGCTGCTGGTCTCGGACTGGCTGCTGCTGCTGCTGGTCTGCGTGGAGTTGGACACGCTCCTCTTGCGCGCGGGCGGCACGTGGATGTGGTTGCCGTGCAGCGCGGCGATCTCCACGCAGTTGAGCCGCCGCAGCTTGTCCTCGTCCAGGCCCCCCTGCAGGACGGGCCCGCTGATGAGGAGCCCCAGCCTGGGGGGTGCCGCCGTGGCCGCCGCCGCCGCCGCCTTGTGCTTGCCGTGCTGCGAGCCCCGCAGCTTGAGGCTCTCCATGCGCTTCAGCAGGCTGCGCGTCTTGGACGTCTTGGCCGCGGCCGCCTTCTCGGGGACCCTCGTGCCGAAGCTGAAGCTGGACAGCTCCTTGGGGGAGGGCAGGCTGCAGAAGGAGTCGTCGTCGTGGTGGTGGCCGGCGGAGGAGGAGCAGACGCTGAGGACCGAGTCGGTCCGGGGCGTGGCCGTGGCCGTGGGCGTGGCCGTGTCCCCGCCGTTGCCGTGGGCCACGTGGGCGGGGAGGCTGCTGGTGCTGCTGAGGCTGCGGACGGAGTTCGCGTCCTGGCGCTCGCTGAGGTCCGTCAGCATGCTCTCGTGGCTCGGGGCGCCCTGCAGGCGGGGAGCCTCCTCGGGGGACCCCGGGACCGGGTCCTGCTTCGGGGAGAAGACGTCGAACTCGTCCAGCCGGGACCACCGCTTGCTGTCCCTCTGGAAGGTCCACTTGCCGCTGATGGCGCAAGGCTCATCCTCGTCCGAGTCCTCGCTCTGAAAAGACAGAAGGGAGCCGTTGGTCCCCGGGACGGGCACACCGCGGGGAGCGGGACAGGTGCTGAGGGCCAAGGGCCCAGGAGGCTGCTTATAACGGGTTGACACCGCCCCCACCCTCCCTAATCTCTTTTCTTTTTATTAAATATATTTTATTGATTTCTTACAGAGAGGAAGAGAGAGTGAGAAACATCGATGAGAGAGAAACATCGATCAGCTGCCTCCTGCACACCACGCCCCCTACTGGGGATGTGCCTACAACCAAGGTACATGCCCTTGACCGGAATCGAACCAGGGAACCTTTCAGTCTGCAGGCTGACGCTCTATCCACTGAGCCAAACCGGTTTCAGCTCTGATATCTTTATATTATTATTATTATTATTATTATTATTATTACTTTTTACAAAGAACAACTATGTATGTAAAGAATATCACAGGAAAAAGCCTGACCAAGTGCTTGACATGAAATAAGTCATTTGCCCAGCTGGCATAGCTCAATGATTGAGTGTCGGCCTTTGAACCAGGCGGCCAGGGTTCGATTCCTGGTCAGGGCACGTGTGCGGATTGCCGGCTCCATCCCCCGTGTGGGGCATGCAGGAGGCAGCCGATGAATGATTCTCTCTCATCACTGATGTTTCTATTTCTCTCCCTTTCCCTTCCTCTCCTAAATCAGTAAAAATACATTAAAAAAAAAAAAAAAAAAGAGAGACAGAAACCAGCCATTTTATGGAAACTGGGGGCTACCGGCTGTTCTTTCACTGCTCACAGGAACCTTCTGAGCTCTGTGGAAGCCCCAGGCATGCGAAATATTTCGAGCTGGAGTCAGCAGCGGGGAGGACTCCCTCTGCTCCGCCTGCAGGGCTGCCGTCTGTTGATTGTGTGTGTTTGTATTCCCTTTTGCAAGTAGAAAGGTAAGTTTTCAACACCAAGAAGAGCGGTGACTGAAGTCTCCAGCCACCCTACAGGGCCACAAGCTCTCCTAATAGACTAACGGAGGCACCAGGCGAGAGAAGCCGTTGCATTTCCACTTCAGTCCAACCCGTTTCCCTCTTAACCTGTTCTTTTCCATTCCCTCCCCCGCCGGACAGCGGGGCTGGAGCTAAAGCCACACGTGTCCTGTGCAGTGTCCACACCTCAGACCTGCTCCGCTCCGGGCAATTGCACAGGCTTCCCAAACACCCAGGCCTGACCACGTGTAACATTCACACACGCTGAGTAACATCCTTGCCGCTGATGCTGGACTCGTGGGGGCGTGGGGTGGGGCTGTAACGCAAGCGGCTGCATCTGAGCCTCTCGGGAGAAATGTCAGAAGGCACACGTGACTCAGTACGATGCCCGTCTCTCCCCCCACCCGTGTGGGCAATCCCACGTGACCCTTGCTTCACAGGACAGTGAGTCAAGAAGCATGAAGTGCGGACTTGTTGGCACTTCTCTGCACGGCCCCGTGGGTCCCGAGGTTCCGGTCCGTGTGTTTCAAAGGCTCAGCTGCCCCAGGAGGGCCCCTCGTTGCAGGCCAGGGCCTCCAGGGTAATTAAAATGCGCGCTCCGAACGGCCAGGAGTGTGTTCTTGGACCAGACGTACTCCTGTTTACTCTAATTTGTGACTCTCACTCCCGGTGCTACGCCCACTCCTGCTCCTAAGATCTCATAAAAGGGCCTCACACTTCAGACCCGGGAGAAAACACCGTCCGACTCAGTGGCGTGCCACCACTGGACCAGCATGTGTGGGACTTCCTGCCCTCCCCGCTCTCCTGATCCTTTCCTCCCTCCAGCACGCCTAGCATTCTTCCCTACCCCACAGCCCGGCCTCCACGGATCTCTGCAGCCTCGAAGCACACCGTTATGTATGGGAGCTGGCTGTCATTTCTGTAGGGAGCAATGCAGCCTACCAGATGCCTTCGGCCCCATCCCTTTAATATGGACAAGGCACGGAGTTAATGAGGCAGAATAGATGATTTTTTTTTTCTTTTCTTTCAGATAAAAAACAGGAAAACTCAAGAGATACAGAGGAGAGACTGGTGGCTGCCAGAGGTAGGGGGTTGGGTGAAATGGGTGTAGGGGATTAAAAAGTACAAATTTCCAGTTATAAGTAAACTAAAGGCCCAGTGCATGAAATTCCCTCAGCCCAGCCTGCACCCTCTCTCCAATTGATTCCCTACCTAAACCGGTAGTTGGCTATCCCTCTCGCAGTATGGGACAGCTGGCTCCTAGCCGCTCACATGCCTATGTGCCTGATTGCCCCTAACTGTCCTTCCCTGCCGGCCTGATCTCACCCCCAACTGCCCTCCCCTGCTGGCCTGGTTGCTCCCAACTGCCCTCTCCTGCTGGCCTGATTACCCCTAACTGCCTCTGCTTGTCTGATCACCCCCAACTGCCCTCCCTGCCAGCCTCATCTCACCCCCAATGACCCTCCCCCGTTCGCCTGCTCTCTCCTAACTGCCTCTGCCTTGGCCCCCACCACCATGGCTTTGTCCGAAAGGAAGTCAGACATCTGGAAGATGGTCAGTCGACCGGTTTATATATTTTATTGATTTTTTACAGAGAGGAGGAGAGAGGGAATAGAGAGCTAGAAACATCAATGAGAGAGAATCATCGACCAGCTGCCCTTTGCACACCCCCTACCGGGGATGTGCCCGCAACCAATGTACATGCCCTTGACCGGAATCGAACCTAGGACCTTTCAGTCCGCAGACCGACGCTCTACCACTGAGCCAAACCGGTTTCGGCCAGTCGACCGGTTTAATTAGCATATTGCCCTTTTATTAGCATAGATAAGTCCTGGGGATGTAATGTATAACACGGTGACTCTAGGGAACAATATTGTATTGCAGATTTGAAAGTTGCGAAGAGAGTAGATCTTAAAGTTCTCATCACAAGAAAAAAAATGGCAACTGTGTGGTGATCGATGTTTAACTGGACTTATTGTGGGAAATCACTCTGTAACATATAAATATCCAATTACTATACTATGCACCTTCTATTAATATAGTGTTATACATAAATTACATCTCAATTTAAAAACACAGCAGGGAAAACACAATCCATTGGCTGCCTGCAGCTAGTGGTCTAAACTACATAAAGCTTGGGACACTCGACTGGTTTATTGCATTAAACATGCCCATGTTCTGGAGAACGAGGAAGTAAGACTTCGTACACAAAAACCAATCACAAAACACGTAATCGAGTTTCCGGCCTGTCCCCTTCCTCCTGTCTTATTATACCGTTTAGATACTCACTCTTTTCCGATGAGGACTGATTTCCAGTTTCATCACCGCACATTTGTTTAAAGTGTTTAGACGCCTACAGAGCAAAGAAATAATGTTAGCAAAGATAGGACACCACTGGTGGGTAGATATAATTCTTTTTTCCAAAACAGTTGACATGCTTAATGAGATGCTTTGAATCCATGAATATCTGTCATTTAGAAGAGTATTAGAAAGTTCTTTAAAAAGTGAATAGCTTCACAATATCTCTCCATGCCTTAAGTTTTTTCATTTAGTTTTACTATTATACTAGTACAGTGAGATGACACACTGCTCTGGAAGGTGCTGTCAGGTGCCTCTTCCTCTTCATGGAACAAAGGACTCTCAGGGACCCCTCGCCTGAGCCGGGGTCAGCTCCATCCAGTAAATGCCTGCGTCTCCTTTCACAGAAACAGTCACAGCAACAAGAACAAGCAGAGCTGTTGGCAAACACTATGTTGTATCTCAAGTAAAAATTCTAGTACAAAAATACAACAGTCTCTAACCAATAATCATCCTGTTTAAAAATTGGCAATTTCTTTTTTTAAAAAATATATATTTTATTGATTTTTTTTTTTTTTAGAGGAAGGGAGATAGTCAGAAACATCCATCAGCTACCTGCCCCTCCCCCAGCCCCGCCCACTGGGGGATGTGCCAACAACCAAGGTACACGCCCCTGACCGGAACTGGACCTGGAACCTTTCAGTCCTTAGGCGGATGCTCTATCCACTGAGCCAAACTGGTTTCCGCAAAACTAGCAAGTTCTTGTACCAAAAGGAAATCCAAGCCCTCTTTAATGCCCTATTCTTTGTACAACTTCTTGTTTTAGTACAGAAGAATGTTTGGTATAGTTACAGCCATAGTGCAAATGATTATTTAAAATTACTGAAACTTCAAGGATCAATCAAAATCTTACAGAGTCCAGCGCTTGTAGACTTTAAAATGTTCTTGAGAGTGAGGATGATTCTCTCGTAAGTATAAAGTTTGATAACGACTAAAAGTGATAATCACGGAACTACTCATTTTTTTAAGGGCTCGGATCAGATTCTGCTTCCGAGCAGGAGTCATACTGTAGCTGAATACTTCTTTTGCCCCTGCCAAACAGTCATGTTTAAACTCAGGGATAGAAGTTAAATTTCATTGGAAATGAAATAGTTAAAGGAAAAAACCCTCACTGACAAATCATGATTAACTATAGAAAGAAACCCTTTGCACCCACAGGAATAAATGATATGCAAAACCCATCAGGCCCCAGTTCCTTCTAGCATCTTCCAGGCGATCATCACTTAAGTCTTCCTGGAATGGACCTTCTGCCGTTTTGCACCACAGTCTTCCGCTTTTGCTCCAACTGCGATTCTCCCGTTTTCACAGGACGCCAGCATTTAACTCACACAAATCCAGGCGGACAGCGAGGCCTCTTCCAGGCTTCACGTTGCTAGCCCTGCTCTTGCAACCGGCCTAACCGTTTCAACACACGGGAGGAGAGATAGTGTTTCTGCCTGCTGATAAGACTGCCTTTGATTTCACAGGTTAAGCGATAGCCTGGTTAGAGAATAAACAAAGATAACCCGGAGCACCTACGTTCAGGGAAGTTCTCTTGGTTGACAGGAAGGGCAGGAACATAAGCCACGGAGAAAACTTAATAAACCAGAAAAGTAGATTTTCCAACGAGGGCACGGAAGGTCCCTCTCTGAGCGGCATCAGTACTCAGAGGACTTGAACCCACAGGGTTGTTGTTTTTTCAAGACTTAAAAAAAGAATCCGGACTGGTTACCGTCCGTCTTAGGCCTGGGTTTCGTTAATCACACCTGTAACCAAATATCCACTTGACTTCATTTGGTCTTTGCTGGTTGGAATAGTGTTTGTAGCCAGGTTTACTGGGCACAAAGGCCTACGGGGGTGTCGGAGAGGCTGACTTCACAAATTCTAGATTTGAGTCAAACAAAAAAGACCCAGGAGGCCAGTTTTATAAAGGCCAATATTATCTTTTTCTTTTTAAATATATTTTATTGATTTTTCTTTTTTTTTTTTTACAGAGAGGAAGGGAGAGACTTAGAGAGCCAGAAACATCGATGAGAGAGAAAAACATCCATCAGCTGCCTCCTGCAAACCCCTTCCTCCCCCCCTCGCAGTGGGGATGTGCCCGCAACCAAGGTACATGCCCTTGCCCGGAATCGAACCCGGGACCCTTCAGTCTGCAGGTCGACGCTCTATTCCCTGAGCCAAACTGGTTTCGGCAATATTATCTTTTTCTGTTGGTAGTGCTGAACCCATGGCCTCTCGATTTGGAAGCCCGGAAGTTATTCCCTGGGTTTGTGGGGGACTCACTGTCCCCTAGGACCTTGAAAGGATGCCCACTGGTGGGACATTACCAACTTGGAGATGACAGTTCCAGCTAGACCATTTTGGGGTTCACTCTGAGTCAGGCACTCTGCCTGTATTGTCCTCACCATAACCCTAAGGTACACATATGTTTACTGAGCTTCCCTTTATAGGTGAGGAAATGCAGGCTTCCGTCACGAATCTTATCCAAGGCCACAGGACTAAAATACGGTGGCCCTGGCACTCAAAAACAGTACCTTCTTCTTCTTTTTAAAAATCTGTTTTCACTGACTTTAGAGAAAGAGGAAGGGAGAAAGGGGTAGAGCCCGCAACCTGGGCATATGCCCTGACCGAGAACAGAACTGTGACCGCCTCCTGGTTCACAGGCTGACGCTCAACCGCTGACCCACACCTGCCGGGCCAAACCAGTATCTTCTTCATCCATTTTTGTTGTTGTTAGTCCTCACCCAGGGATGTTGTTCCATTGAAAAAAATTTTTTTTAATTTTTTTTTTTTTTTTTAGAGAAACAGGGAGAGAGAGAAGCATCGATGTGAGAGACACACATCAATTGTTCCACATGGGCCCTGTCTAGGGCCCAGGTTTGAGCCTGCAACCGAGATACATGCCCTTGACCAGAATTGAATCAGGACCCTTCAGTCCGTGGGCTAAGGTTTTATCTACTGAGCAAACTTCATTCCTTTCCAAAATAAATGCTAGTCGTGGTAATACAGGGGAGCAGCTGCTATCTTAGGTAGGATTCCTCCAGTGAGTGGGCGAACAATGGCATTGCACCATCTGTCCAGAAACTGGTGGTTCCCGCCCCGGGGCCCTCGTGGGGCTCAGCCCCACAGGAATGTGTCAGCCTTATCTGCTGGGCAACTTGTACACGGCTCTGAGCGGGGAGGGAGCTGGGGTGGGCCAGCAGCGGTTCAAGAGGTTTGCTGCAGGGAGCTCCAAGCACCCTGATAAAAGCAGAGCAGGCGGGCTTCTGGGCCTCTTACTCAGAAAGAAAACAGGGCCAAGTACAAGAGGAGAGCGAGGAAAGAAGAAGAAACAACTTTCCAAGACCGGACAAATAAAGATTGTTCCAATTCTCAAAGATAAGTGCAACTGCTAAATGGAATTAGTGCAATTACTTAAAAAAAAAAAAATCACTCACTACCCTCTTAATAAACCAGAAAAGTAGCAAAGTGCAAACCTACTAAACGGCAGGCTGCTTTATGTAGCGTAGGCATGTCAAGGGCTATGTCACAACAAAATGAAGATGATGGTATGAATATCTATTATTTTTTTAACCTGTTAACCGGGGAGTTCCCTTTTTAATGACGCAACCTGTAACGGGCGCGTACTCTTTCACTAGGACGTGTCAGTACGTCACGCCCGGAGGACGTAATTTCATATTATTTTTTTTTAAATTTATACTTAATTAAAATAAATGAAATATATATATTTTCATTTATTTATATATAAAGCACAAAAGAAAATACAAAATTACCAACAAATAGAAAAGAATACCAACAAAAAAATGGAAACATCGAATTAAGAAAATTATAAATTTTACAAACAATTATAAAGATTACAAAAAATATATACTGTCCCTCTCAGGGCGCAACATATATTTCAAGGACGTATTCATATGTCCTACCCATTCCCGATATTGTTTACGTTTGACGTATTTATAGGTCCCTCTCGGTTAAAAGGTTAAAATTAATTTTATTATTATTACTAGAGGACTGGTGCACGAAATTCATACACAGGTAGGGCCCGTAGGCCTGGCCAGAAATCAGGGCCAATCTGTGGGTGATTGGGGATCCCCCACTGGCACCCTTCTTGGCCCGCATAGGGGCTGGGAGCAGCTTCTGCGTTGAGAGTCTGCCCCTGGTGGTCAGTGTGTGTCATAGCAACTGGTTGTTCTGCTGTTTGGTCGATTTGCATATTAGGCTTTTATTATATAGGATTTTTAAATCCTCACCCAAGGATAATTTCCCTCTGATTTTTAGAGAGCGGGAGAAGGAAAGACAGAGAAATATCCATGTGAGAGAGAGACATTGATTGGTTGCCTCCTGCACACACCCTGACCAGGCCCCAGGCCAGGGAGGAGTCTGCAATCGCAGTACATGCCCTTGAGCAGAACCAAACCCAGGACCCTTTGGTCCACAGGCTGACACTCTATCCACTGAGCCAAACTGGCCAGGACTGAATATCTATTTTTAAAAAAATAAATCTTTATTGATTTCAGAGAGGAAGGGAAAGGGAGAGAGAAAGAAACAGCAGTGATGAGAGAGAATCATTGATTGGCTATCTCCTGCCTGCCCCACACTGGGGATCAAGCCCACAACCCGGGCATGTGCCTTGATCAGGAATCGAACCTGGGACCCTTCACTCCAAATCCAAAAAAATGAAGAAGGGAGAGGGATAGAGAGCCAGAAACATCGATGAGAGAGAGAAACATAGATCAGCCGCCTTTTGCACACCTCCCACTGGGGATGTGCCCGCAACCAAGGTACATGCCCTTGACCGGAATCGAACCTGGGACCTTTCAGTCCACAGACCAACGCTCTATCCATTGAGCCAAACTGGTTTCGTCAGCAGTGACATTTTTACGGCCCAGGAATTCCTGAGCTGCTGCTGCTGCTGTTCAGGGGCCCACTCACTAAGTGGCTTAAAACACATGAAATGGATGATGTGATGCAACGCGCAAATATTTCCTGGGACACATCATACGAGTGGCCTCACTTCCATGTGTTATCGCCAGTGATGAATTGAAAATAAATTAATTCTGCCACGCGCTAAGCATGAAAACATCTGAAGAATGTCTGCAGTAGTTCCTATTCCAGATGCTGCCTGCCTGCCTCCCTCCGTCCCTCCGTCCCTCCCTCCCTCCCTCCCTCCTCACCTGCCGGGTTCTTCATTCCAGAGCTCACAGTTCTAACGATGCACACTCAGTGCGAGGCTTGGACCTCGGGTTCTTTCACAAACCCTGGACATTTCTGAGCCGTCATTTCATTGGGCTTGAAAAGTGACAGCGTCTCTGTGGTTAACTGGGATTTTTCCCCCCTTTTCTCTCTAAAACCATGAAGACTCGTCTATTCCATCTACCATTCTAAACATCCTCCCTATCTCTCTTTCAAAACCACTGCTCAAGTTAGCTGCTTCCGAAAATGCTGTTATTACATAAGAAAGGAGAAAATAATACTTTCTCAGAAATACCACTGCCTTCCTTGCCGACAACGTGGAAATAACTATCGGATGCCATTCTATCTTAATCATGTTTTCCCAAGTTAAACTAAATACGGACATCGAGAGAACATTTAATCTTACAGTCGAGTCAGCATGTGAATTTTGTTTAGGAATCGTTTTTCTTTCCAGAATCCAGCCTTTATGGCTTATAGGTTTTGAGAAAAATGACGAAGCATGAATGACTTAAAATGAATGAAATGCCGTGAGGTTTGAAGGCCCATCATTGCTGTATGTCTTATTACTTTCGCTTCTCTAACACCCAGCCTGAAGACCCACCAGCGCCACGAACAAGGGATGCCCGACTCTTAGTCACATTTCACATGAGTGCTCATCTGCTGCCTGACCACCCGTAGGTGGAAGGCTGGGCTGAGTTATTTTCCAGCCATTTTAACCCTATTGTTACTAGTTTGTACCCGGAAAAGTGGAGCTGGTTCAGAGAGGAATTCAAGCGATGGTCCTCCTGGCTCTAGTATGGAGACCCTCCCCCCCTCCCCATTTACTCCTGTGAATGTGTTATTTCCATCTAGTACCCCAGCGGCTCTGACTGTGAGGGTACCTGGCTGGGCCGTACAGTCAGCCGCATTGCCTTGTGAAAAATCCTGTTCGTACTCTCTGAGCCATCTGAAGTTAGCTGTTTGAGTAGTCATATGGTGCTGAATATGGAACAGCGCTATCTGAGTACCAGTGCTCTTTTAATGGCAATATTAAATAACAGAATTTCACTTATTTCAATGAAGCAGATCACTATACCCAAATGCTCATCAAAGACCTGACCTAATTAGTTAGAACAAAAGCAAACAAGACCATCTTGTACTGATACGCACACTATTCTAAGAAAAAAAAAAAAGAAAAAAAAAGTGCTCGCAGCATTTCCATTTACCTGCATAGAGCCTCGATGGCGTCTCTGTCCAGAAAGTCATGCTCTCTCTTGACCAAGGAAATATCGATAGGGAACAGGAGATCTGAAAAGACAAATGCAGAGGAAAATCAACACAAATACATTAATTCATTGAGCACCCTAGGTTCTTCCTGAACTAGCCCCGGTTAGCCAGGTGTGTGTGTGTGGGGGGGAACACCCCAAAGGCCTTGTGAATGCCTACTGTGTGCAGAGCAAACACCTACTGTATGCAGAACCTACTGTGTGCAGAGCAAACACCTCCCTCCCCACCAAGTGCTGGGGAGAAGAAGGCAGCCTCAGGCAATGCTGTGTCAGTGGCCCAAAGGAGCTTAGGATCTAAAGTGGTTTGGAGACTCAGGGATTTCTTTTGGTCCAAGATAAGAGGCTCACAAACACCCTTCCCACCTTTAAGCAAATCCACAGGCTGGAGAGCCCGCCATGAATTATAACTGAAGCTGGAACGAAGGCCAGAAGGGTGCTCCCTTTTAATATGGCTGGATGTTTGGTGCTGTTTTTCCATGTGTCTCTTTGCTCACATTTGACCAGGGAAGAGGTCATGGAAAACTGGGCCAAAGAAAGATGGGAGAACAGTGCATGGCAAGTGTGGTAAACCAAATCCAACCGTTTGCAGGACATCAGAAGCCAAAGGGGATTCAGGATGTGCTATTTTTAAACACATATTAGCACTTCCCTACGGCTTTTGGGGACTTTACAGAACTCTTCCTACAACAGAAGGCTGGCGATAGGGCTGCCCAGACCCACGGAACCTCGAGTCCCTTCGTCTGTGGAAGAATGAGTGTTACAGTGGATTCTTTTTTTTTTTTTTTTAATATATTTTATTGATTTTTTACAGAGAGGAAGAGAGAGGGATAGTTGGAAACATCGATGAGAGAGAATCATCGATCAGCTGCCTCTTGCACACCCCCCACCAGGGATGTGCCCGCAACCAAGGTACATGCCCTTGACCGGAATCGAACCTGGGACCTTTCAGTCCGCAGGCCGACGCACTATCCACTGAGCCAAACCAGTTCCGGCTATAGTTGATTCTTTATTCCTGAAGGCTAGTGTTGGGTTACTGATACTGTTCCCTGAACGACGGATCACATAGGAAAACCAATGAAGTCGCTATAGCCCAGAGATTTATGAAGAAGGTTAGTATTGCGGGATTATAGCTCATCATTAAATTGTAGGTCAAGTCTCTCTGGCAGACGATTCATGGCACCATTGTAAGGGGAAATAAGAGAGGGGCTGACAGTGATTGCGAGCGAGGTAAGCACAAGCGAGGCAGACGCAAGGCGGTGTCAAGGCCATGCCACTGCGCTTCACTCTGAACAGCCACCAGAACCTCTGAGTATTAATAGAGCTGCCATTAAAGAACGTATTTTGAATACTTCCCAAGTATAACATCAGATCTACAAATGTACGCTCAGAAGCTCACATGCTGTTCAATGCGTATGAGACAGCACAACTACTATATTATTTCAGCAATTCCCAACTCGGATTTCCCAGGCAGGGCTGTATTTTAGATTACTTTCCTGACCCAAATGAACACCAACATTTTAAGATGTTGACATTAATTCAGTAGGGGTTAAACGCAAGGGAGGAGTGAAATAATTAAATCAATTCATTTCTCTTCCTTGCCGCAACTCTTTCCTGGAAAAATAAAAATAAAAAGCTTTCCATAGATGATGGTGTATGATGCGTAGAAGTTCCCAGCGTTCTTCAGGTTAGGGTTTAAGCTTCTAGCTTGGGCTTAAAGGCAGGAAGTCAACATTGCCAAGGACCAAAATAGAGCCGAACAGGAAGACCAGGAATGTGTGGGTTGGTGTGTGGAGTGTGTGTGCTACGCACCCTGCACACAGCGGCAGGAAGAAGGGGAGGAACGATAGCCCAGAACAATACACCTCAAAGGAGGCTTATGCTTCAAAAAGGACTGCCGGCATAAAGGGACACCCCCTCCTTCCCCCCAGAACGTAATCTGAGAGACTGCAGTGTGCGTTTTAGGATTTGGGAAGGGGTGAGGACAGAGACTTAGCAAACATACACATCCCAGGAAAGTGCTGCTGCTGCTTTGGCAACAAATCAACACCGAGAATGGACATAATTGGAGGAAATTTAATTTCTAAATAAGAGAACAAAAGGGACAAAGGACAGTCCCGGGACTGCCACTGCAAATGCAATTATCTCCCCGACTCCAGGAGAGCTGTGAATTGGAAATCCAATAGACTGCCGCCCTCACCCCCAAGTCCTCCTGAAGGACAGAGACATCCCTCCAGGGTAAGAGGTCACACATTCTCTCCAAAGAGAAGATAAGCAACTCATCATAATACACATACATATGTCTTAAAAAGAAAGAAAGATATGGATACGGAGGAGTTCTAGCAGAACTGTAAAGCAGAAAGGGAGAAACAGTTGGAAGACTTAAAAAAACAATGGAAGACTTAAAATTTTTTATATATATATATATATATATATATATATATATATATATAATCTTAAAAAAAAAAAGGTATTGGAGATGCCCACTAAAATGAGGGAGCAGTAGAAGGTTTTATACAATCTAAGAACAAAAGAATTCTGAATCCATCTTCGTGGGAAAAGCACACGTTCAATCTGGGCTACAATACAGTAGACCAGGTATTGTAACTTAGGGCATGAATGGACTTAGCTGAGTGAGCGAGAGAAAAATCATCTCTAGGGTCTCGGCCCTATTTGCTCCTGGGAAGCCCCCGTCTCCACCCAACTTCATGTCCCTCCTTCAAGGCAACCTGCTGATCCTGTTTAGCACCATCGCCTTTCTTGGCCTGGACTCATGAGGTCTGGCTCATGTATTAGAGAAGGCTGGCAGGGACCTCTAGCTCCAGCGAAGAGAACGCTCCCATTGCTACAGGAACCAGCCTGCTATCTTATTATCCTAGAAGGAGAGAAGAACTAAAGTGCTGTTTTAAAATCACTGTTAATTGTGAGAAGAGTTCACCATGAAAACAAGTTTAAGTGACATCATTTCAAATGGATCTTTTAGAGATTTTTGTCTCCTGGTGGCTAACTGTCTCATTGCATCTCCTTCCTTCTTCATTAATGAAAAAGGCGTATTTTTTTAAATGGGAATCAACCAAAATTATGTTTGTTCTATGAGAGTCTGACAATCCCTCAAAGTTCTTCTTTGAGGTTTGAACCGTCTTGTTTTTGTAAGACAGGTGGCACCCAGGAGTGCCAGGCACCCTTGTTGATGCTGAATTAACACGAGCTGCTTGGTCAGCTGGCGGGCTGGCTGGCTGGCTGGTAAATGAGTGAAGGAGAGAGAGACTCCTAGGGTGGCCATCACAGCAATATTACGGAGGCAAAGAATGCTCGGTGGGAAGAAATCCTGGGAGTCATTTTACTCACTCTCCATTTAGGAACCACTTCATTATTCACCCAGCCTCGGTTGAAAATCACTCGTAAAATGGAGTCCACCCGCTCACAACTGTCATTCTCTTTAAACGACTTAATACGGAGAATGATAAAACTGTCATCTAAACGAACAGCCTATTCCAGCCTATTCTCATCTTGCTGTGCAGGGCACACGGGGCGGCCGGAGGCTGAGGGTGACGAAGACTCGAGGGGCTCCGGGTCCCTGCCCTCAGCACCCCAGGGTGCGGAATAGAGACCGAAGCAGTAAAACTTCAGCCCAGATCCTAGTTACTTTTAAAAAGGCCCAGTTTTCTTCATTAAAGAATTGAATGGCTAGAAGGAATAATATCAAAAATGACAACCTCAAAAAAAGTGAAAAGCCTAATCACAAACTGCAACACAAGCCCGATAGGTTTAGCATGAAGAGCTCTTAAGCCATAAAGAAAAGCACAGTCAACTCAGGAGGAAAACGGGCAACAGACTTTACAGAAGAGTCAACATCTGGCCAAATGCTATGGAAACATGTGCTCCGTATCATCAAGGATGAGGGAAATGGAAGTGAAACTCTGGAAGGTATTCCATACCCAGTTGATTGACAAACATTAAAGTCTGACAATATCAAGTGTTGAGAATACATGGCGGGAGTGAAAATCGGCACATCTTTTTAAAACCTGCCTTATCCAATCAAATACCTATTGTCTCTATTACCCAGGCATCTCACCCTGAGAAATACATGTGAGGCAAGTTACTGCACATGTACAAGGGTACCACAAGAAGGCATAAGAATGTTTGAAACATTACAGTTTATAAAAGCAAGACAGAAAAACCAAAATGCCCAGCGGAGTGAGCATACAAATAAACTGTGTTCCAGTCACACAATGGATGTTACACAACAGTGACAGCAGAATAAGGACACAGTCCAGGGGCACCCAGACTGGAAGAATCTTAATATAAGAAGTAAAAATATCAATTTCTACAAGTTTACATAGAGCACACGACCCTTTTGGTAAAGGAAAACAAGTTTATAAAAAAATATATTTTAGGAAAATACAATAAAACTACATAAAAGGAAAGCAAAAAAAAAAAAAAAAAAAAGGATAAACACAGGTTTCATTTAGGAAGACGGTGATTTTGGATAGGGGAGCAGCAGAAGGAGAGCACGTGGTTGTGTTATTATCAAGATCCCATGCCGAAACCTGTTTGGTTCAGTGGATAGAGAGTTAGCCTGCGGACTGAAAGGTCCCGGGTTCGATTCCGGTCAGGGGCATGTACCTGGATTGCGGGCACATCCCCAGTAGGAGGTGTGCAGGAGGCAGCTGATCGATCTTTTTCTCTCATTAATGTTTCTAACTCTCTATCCCTCACCTTTCCTCTCTGTAAAAAAATCAATAAAATATATTTTTTTTAAAAAGATCCTAGCTTTTTCTTTGAGTGGTGGGAGTCTTCAGTGCTTGCTACATTGTGTTTTTTGTTTGTTTGTTTTTATTTTTTTAATGATGGAAATAGCCAAGTAAATAAGAAACTATCTGAAAGTAAATAACAGATCAATAATAATTATGAACCAAGGATAAGATTATGCTAACATTAATATATATATATATAATATATATATATATATATATATATATATATATATATATATATATATATATATTGATTTTAGAGAATAAGGGAGAGGGAGAGAGAACCATTAATGATGAAAGAGAATCACTGATTGGCTGCCTCTTGCACACCCCCTACTGGGGACTAAGACTGCACAGAATCGAACCTGGGACCCTTCAGTCCGCAGGCCGATGCTTCTACTGAGCCAAACTGGCTAGGGCTATGCTAATATTTTTTACAAATGGTGTTCCCGGCTCACCTTCATAAAGCTGTGCATACTGGGGGAAACCCGTTGCCCGTAGCCAATCACAAGCTTCTTTGGCTTCAATTTCTGCAACAAAACAGAAAACAAAGGAAGTTAAGTCTTATGTACCTCAGCATGCTTCTTCTTCCCTAATAAGCTCTGAAATAGTTCTACAAGCAAAACATGCATGTCTGCTGGTAACAACTAAGGCCCCAAGTCCCCTTAAGTCAAGTGACTTAAAACGTTGTGCATCTTTCCAGACTTTTAGAAATGCATATAACTATCCACCTTTCCTTAAAAAAAGGAGGTCCTGGCACTAGGTTACCCTGTGTTGCTTCTGCTCCGGTCATTAATGATGATGGCCGAACTGGGTTTACTTTTCACATCAATAGAAGGTCACCAGGTACATCTGACACCCGGAAGAGCCCCAGCCTGACCTTCAGCCACCTGACAGGATGTACACGAAACCCCAGGTCCTGGAGCCCCCAGTCTTCAGAGGCAGTTACAGGAGGCCCGAGCTGTCAGGTAGCTGGGAGGCATTAATCCAACAAACCCCACAATCCTGGGAGGGTGACAGGCCCAACAAGGCTTTTATTCCCCTGTGATTAACATCTCGTAGAATGTAGATACGCTTGGATAAACAGAAAGGCCAAGTGCAACTGACGCATTACTCTGTTCCAACTCATTCCAGGACGTGGTCACAGCTCTGTCAAGACTGACTCACATAGGAGAGGTCAGGGCACATTCATGAGCTTCTCTGCTCACACAACAAACATTCTTTTAAAACAAACAAACATATTTGTATTGATTTCAGAGAGAGGAAGGGAGAGGGAGAGAGAGAAATATCAATGATGAGAATCATTGAATCCTGACTTCCTGGTTCTTCATGGGTCCAAGCTCAACCACTAAGCTATACTGGCCAGACACTATTCTTAAAAAAAAAAAAAAAATGTTTTAATTTATTTTTTTAGAGAGAGAGGAAGAGGGAGAGAGAGAAACATCGATGAGAGAGTACACGGATAGGCTGCCTTATGCATGCCCCATACTGGGGATTTAGTCCGAAATATGGAAAGGTAATGATGACCGCTCAAATTCATGAAAGCAGATAGGAATGTCCTTACTGAGCAGTCCAAAAGGAAAAGCAACTTGCTATCTTCTCATGAGTTAGTTAGTGCCCAGCTACCAACAACTACGGTAGTAGAGTGGGAAATCGACATGGCAAAGTTTACTTCCATGAATCTTCTATTATAAAAGCAGCAGCATCAAACTCCAGATTCAGGGCTGAATTGGGGGTGAAGGATAATGTGACATAGACTCAATGTTTGCACCGCATGGAAGAACAAATAGAATTGTCCAATGGGAATTATCTGGGTTTAACTTTTTTTTTTTTGTATTTATACCCATATCTTGTCTCAGAAAGAAATTAAGAAAGCTTTAAATAAAATCATAAAATAAACATTTTTCTAGAAAACGATACTGCTGGGAAAATATACGGTGTCCTAAGAAAACGCACACATACTTTTCTGTAGATCCTCCTGTATTTTGAAAACGAAGTGCATTTTAAGTAAACACTGCCTTTGTAATTATTCAAAGCACATCTACATTTTTTGGGACACCCTACAGTAGCTCAACATTTTATTTTAAAATGGCTTTTTGCCAAGAGGCACGAAAGATATAAGGTACCGTTTTTCTAAAAAAAAAAATAATAAAAAAAAAAATCTTGACATGTATTTACATACTCGTAATGCCTTACAAATTACAGAGTGTTGTCACATATATCGCTCGCTGAAGGACCCGTGTGATTTCGGGAACTCATAAATGCCTACTGCTGTCTCCCCACTCTCTTATTCATTTTCCATTGCTGAGAGAATGAAAAGCTCCCAAATGACCAAAAACTGACTGAAAAAAAGACGGTGCCTAGATAGTCGCTCTCCTCAGAGCCACTTAGTTAGGAAAAGGCGATGTGAGCAGTGAGGATTTGCCTCCCCAGCAGAAAGCGGAATGAAAGGCTTACAGTGGTGAGAGGGCAGCACGCTCCAGAACTGCTGGGCCAGGGATTCTGCCCTTTTCCTTCCCCTACAATGGATGACAACCTGTCTTTCTTTTAGATATGAAACCATGGGAAATAGATAAGCCCGCATCTACTTTACCCTGAAAAATGTCCCTGTATGAAATGTTAGGCTGCCTATCAAATGGGAACTTAGCCTGCTGTTTCTGTAGAAATCGGGGAGGGGGGGGGGGGGGGGGGAGGTAAGCATTGTAAAAAGTTGTCACTGTTTTGTAAACGAAGACTAGTTCATTGATTTCACTCCCACCCCTTTCCAATGACCCCCAAGAGGAAATGGTAGTCATCCAATAGAAGCACTGAGTTTTTTTAAAATAAAAGTTTTCTAGCCCGGCTGGTGTGGCTCAGTGGTTGAGCACCAACCCAGGAAGTAGGAGGTCACTGGTTTGATTCCTGGGAGGCCACATGCCCGGGTTGCAGGCTCCAACCCCAGGAGGGGGTGCACACAGGAGACAGCCTGTGTTCTCTCTCATCAATGTTTCCATCTCTCTATCCCTCTCCCTAGAAATCAATAAAAACATTTTTTAAAAAAAGAAAGAAAAAATAAAAATTTTACTCAATAGGAAATGAACTAATGTCTACATCCAAGTCAGATTGGGAAAACCTTTCTAATCTCACCCCCCTGACCCAGGCAGGCCATTACTTTCACTTTTGTCTCCAAACTAAAACTCTAGGTCTCCAATTCTCTCCTCTCTGAGGATCCATCCAACTCTGGGCTCATCAAATTTCCCAAGTTACGGTTTTGATCTTGTCTCGAAACGGACTTCTTGGAACTCCACTGCTGAGAAAATCAAGTCTAAACACCTCCGGGCAGCTGCCAAAGCTCTTCATGTGGCATCCAACCGAATTTCCCAGCTCCTCGGCCGCCTCAGTGTCCCGGCCAAAGTAAACTGGGTGCTCTCCTTCCCACACATCTACTGAAATGCTTTCCCAGCCTCTCAAGGTCAACTGTCACTCGTCCTTCCAGGCTTAGCCCAAATGCCGCCTCCTCCAGGCAGTCTTCCCAGATCAGGTGCCTCTCCACAATTTCATCAATTAGCCAACTTTTCCTGAGTGCATATTACGTGCCAGGCCCCTCCCTAAGCACGTAATGCCTATTAATTCATACTCCTCAGGCTGACTGTAACACATGGATTACCAGTATAATCCCCCAAGACCAAGGTAACCAGACATCCCAATTTTTAACCATTTGTCCCGCGTGCCTCTGCGTTTTAAAAAAGTCCCGACTCGGGACTTTTTTAAAACGCAGAGGGATGCGGGACAAATGGTTAAAAATTGGGACTGTCCCGCCAAAAGCAGGATGTCTGGTCACCTTATCCAAGACAGACAAATAGGGAAATAACCAGTTCTTAAAAAACGAGCTTTTTTTCATTAGATGCCATCATAGGATAGAGAAACTAAAACATCCAGAAATGAACAAGAGAAGTTCTACCCTTAAAAAAATATATCTAGCCGAAACCGGTTTGGCTCAGTGGATAGAGGTCGGTCTGCGGACTGAAAGGTCCCGGGTTCGATTCCGGTCAAGGGCATGTACCTTGGTTATCTCTCAACAATGTTTCTAGCTCTCTATCCCTCTCCCTCCTCTCTGTAAAAAATCAATAAAATATATTTTAAAAAAGCCAAAACCAGTTTGGCTCAATGGATAGAGCGTCGGCTTGGGGACTGAAGGGTCCCGGGTTCGATTCCGGTTAAGGACATGTACCTTGGTTGCGGGCATATCCCCAGTAGGGGGTGTGCAAGAGGCAGCTGATCGATGACTCTCATTGATGTTTCTAACTCTCTATATCTCTCTCCCTTCCTCTCTGTAAAAAATCAATAAAATATATTAAAAAAATATATTAAAAAAATATATATATATCTATAACAAGAAACACTCAAACTATTAAAGAAAACCAGATACACTCTTCATCCCTTCAATCGCAGATACTGCCCCCGGTCTGGCTTTTAAAGATCTCTCCACCAGGCAATGGATGTGAGTGGTGTGTGTGTGTGAAAACTATAAGGACGGATTTTAAAAAACATTCCCCACCAGGCGCAAATGCCGTCAGAAACCCAAAATACAATGGGAATACAATGTCACTTTTGTACCTGGTTTTCTCTAAGCAAACAACGGACAAATGTGGTTGAGGAGGAAACAGGAAATTTGGGTTGGAAGCAGCTTTCGTGGTCAGTGGTGGGAGATGAATGAGGCCCCTTTGTGTGTGGCTGGGAACCAGCGGGCCATATTTGCACATTTCCTGGCTCGATGGGGTGACCCCGTCTTCCCCTTCCCCCTCAATTTCTGTAAGCAAGGCTGAAATTCCCCAACCCCGTCATCATTCTGTCAAACCCGCTGCTCTGAGCAGGTTGAGCAACAGCGACTGAGTGGAAGCAGGAAGTGACTACTGCCCTGGCTGGTTTGGCTCAGTAGCCACAGCACTGATGGAAGGGTCCCGGGTTCGATTCCCATCAAGGGGAAGTACCTTGGTTGCAGGCTGGATCCCTGGCCCTGGTCCGAGCGCATGCGGGAGACAACCAATTGATGTGTCTCTCTCACATCAATGTTTCTCTCCCTCTGTCTCTCCTCCTCCCTTCTACTTTTTCTAAAAACCAATGGAAAAATACCCTTGGGCAGGGATTAACAAAAAGTAAAGTAAATCTTCTGTTTGCGGTCTTCACAGCGGGCACTCTCAGGTTCCCTGACTCCTTTAACAACATGCTATTTACCCCTCAACCAGGGCTCAAGGCAAATAAATGCTGCCTGAATTTCTCCCTTAAACAAAAGCCTAAGAAATAGGAGAACGAATTCAGACTAAGAACTATGACTTGAAGCCTCTTCTCTTTGCAATGAATAAACACAAATGTCAAACACACACGAATGCCGCAGACTGGTTATCAGGAGTTACCTATGTAAAATGGATTTAGGTGAGCCAAGACAGATAGCAATATTTATATACTAATATCTATTAAACGCTAGTGTTACGTAATCCAAGCAAAGATTTGGACTGGCCACCAGAAGCATTCCTGCCCTCACGTACGTGCC